AGGTAATCATAGTTTAAATAATATATATAATGTATTTTAAAGTAAAAATATATATGAAAATAATATTATAATTCGGATTCGGGTTGGCTTAGGTTGCTAGCACTTCAACCCAAGCCCAACCCTAATTCAATTCGGGTTGAGATTTTTCAACCCAAATCCAACCTTAATTATAAAAATGATTATCCAAGTCCACGAAAAATCAAGCTGGGCACGGGTTGAGTTCGGGTTTCCGAACCCAAGTTACACCCCTACTTCTAGATAGTGATCGTTAGGATGATATGATATTTTTTAGATATTCGTGAATATGTGTTTGATAATTTCTAAATATTTTTTAAAGTTTTAGTAAGTATTCAATATTTTTAAAATATTTCACAATACATTTTTAACAAGATTTGAATATTTAAATGTAACTTTTATAATCGATAATAACAATAAGCTTAATGAATAGCTTTATAACAGGATTCATCCCACCTTCAATCTTCTAACATTTCTTCTGTGAGAATAATTAATTTCTTAAACAATAGCTGTAATACCCCGTAATTTTAAAGAATGTATTTAAATTAATTTTGTGTTAGGTTAATTAATTTTATTTATTTGTGCATACTACATTATTATATTAGGTTCATTTAATTGTGCATGTAAATTAATTGTGTATGTTAAAATAGTAAATTTGTTCATGTAAATATGCATGTATTATTATTAATAATTTTATTTGTTGGTTATACTTATATTAATCATTATTAGTTAAGTAAAGTATTATATTTGTGTTATATAGTATTATGATGATATAATATATTATTTTGTAATAATAATAATTATATTAGTTTAATAATAATAATAATAATAATAATGTTAATAATAATATAATAATAATAATTATAAAAGTTTTATTAATAATAATATTAGTATTAATAATATTAGTATTAAATCAAGGTAATGATGAAAAATTAAATACTAGGATAGAATTTCATTTACTATGGTAGAATGGTGGATCAAATATCTTGATTAAAGATAGCATTGTCTTAAAGCCATATAGGTAGGAGTATGAGAAATGGGTGAGAAGTTATTATAAATAAGATATTTGTAATATTTATATTATATATTTTGTATATAAATTAACTAGCTTGCCTTAGAAGAAAATAAAGGGAGTTAGAAGCAAAGTATAAATTCTAGAGAGCTATTTTATAAGAGTGAAAGGAAAAGAGAAAGAGAAAGAAGCTTGGACCGGTGTAGGCAATTTTACCCGACTACGCGCAGACCGGCGGATTTATTTTAAATCCAAAAAGGCAAGTTATTATCTACTTTTCCCCTTTGAATTAATAAATTAATTGTTTAGCTTATTTTTGTGCATAGAGCCAAGGTTTGGAGGTTAATAAATTATTAATTTTATTTTATTAAATTAATGGAATTTTAATTATATAGGATGGTATATATTTATTTAATGTCCTATGAAATTAATAATGGCTAAAAATAATTAAATAAGACTTTAGGGATTTTTCTAGAATTTTCTAGATTTTTCCGGGCATTTTCTGCAATTTCCGGCGACCTTCCGGCGAGTTTTCCGGTCGCCGGCAGTGGGGGAGACGACCGGAGTGATCCGGTGTGACGCGGCGCACCATAGGAGGGTGTGTGCGCGCATCCTGGGCCTTAGATGAAGCTGATTGATCCGGTGCATCGCGGTCCATGTTACCGCGGTACACCCGGATCTGTGGGCGTTGGATGGAGGAGATGCAGGTGAGATGATCCGGTGTGACGCGCATGTAGGAAAGGTGATGCAGCCAACCAACCGGAGGACGCCACGTCAGCGGGAAGCCATCAACGCGCGCGTGGCAGCGCGTGCGCGCGCGTGGGACTCTCCAGACGCGCGTGGGAGCGCGTGGCTGACGCCAGACGCGCGTGGAGGAGCGTGGGAGAGTGGGGAAGGTTGGGCTGCGCGTGGGGAGGCTCTGGGAGGCGCGTGAGGGCGCGTGTGGGGTCCCTACAGCTGCTGGAAATTACCAGAATACCCCTAGGGCCTGTTTTGTAAATTCCAGAACCTTAAACTTGGATTTTTAGGTACTGTGTTGGTAATTACGGGTTTAACGGGCCACGAAATTATTATTTTAACACCCGTTACTTATTCTTATGGCCGATTAATCTTTTCTAAGCATTTATTGGCTCGTTCGCAGTACGGATACTAATGTGATTTATTTAACGACATTGTTAAATATAAATAGTGTTATTATCGTATTTAATGGTATCAAACATTACTGTTAAATTAAATAAGGCCATGGTTTTAGTCAGATAAATTATCCATGATATCTTATAGGATGTTTATACTGTTAATTGATATATAAACCATGATTATTATGCTGTGTGCATTTCAGGAAATAAATGGACTGTTTAATTATATCGCATTTATATTATATGGATGTGTTGCCATATAGAACCATATGAGCTGGCTAATAAGTTTAGACTCATTTATACCTTATGCATTCGTTGCGATAGACAGATGTGTGGCTGTCGGGGTATGTGGTTTAATATTATTGGCATGTGTTGCCTAATTGACATACTCGGTATATTTATTAATATTGTTGGCATGTGTTGCCTAATTGATATGCTCAGTATATTCATCAGTACTTTGCGAGGTGTTATCACTGTGTAGTTCGTTATAGTCTGTGTTGTCAGTACCGTGCACCATGTATAATAGCTGATTTCCCGGGTAGGGAAAGGCGACACTTGACCACCTAGTGTGAGTCTAAGTGATCACCGTCTATTCTGGTTGAGGTCATGTTATACATTGGATAGTTCCCATAGGATGTATACAGATATAGTACTCATCCGATTCATAATGATTAATTTATTTGATTCTCTGATTTGGGTCATAGTAGAGAGGACTTGCTCGTGGGGTTGACCCACCATTGTTGTTATTTCAGGATACGGTCAGTATCCGTTTCAAGGCTGAGGTTAGCAGTGTGGGACCATCATCCAAACTCATCTACTCTTACGATCCAGTGCAGGGTAGAAGTTTTATGTAATACTTCAGTTTCAGTTTTTATTTACTTTTGACGTTGAACTCTCAGGGTTATATTTAGGGATCCCTGACGTAGGATTTCCAAGTTGTAATGAAGTACTGTATTAAATAAAGGATGGATGGATGTTGTATCATTTAATGTTTCTTTCCTGTCTAAATTCTTTTATTTCCATCATTTGTATTCCATGCTTGTATATTGCCAATTGTTTTTGATATCCCTCGTTTTTCGTGTATAAGCCTGATCAACTTATGCGTGGAAAATGTGGGGGTGTTACAATAGCCCATCCGAAAGTTTGCCTAGATAAATGTGCAACCATCTTCCTAAACTTGGAGTGTTTTATCTTAGCCGGAATAAGCTTAACGGGCAAATTTAATAAAAAAAAAAATACAAGTGCAATCTCAGAAAAATAATACTAATAATTATATATTTGCATATACAAAAAATAATAATAATAATATTATTTTCTTTATCAATTTTCTTTAACATTATGAATATAAATACAATCATTTATATAACATAAGTTCATTTTACAACACATAAAACAAGCATTCTTAGTCATTATTTAATACTATCTTCTAAAAGTTTCATTATTTAATACTATCTTCCAAAAGTTGGAGATTACCCATCTCTGATGGAATCACACCTGCAAAGTTGTCGAAACAACACATATATAATTTTCGACCTTGTTATACTAATAAGCTTGTAATGAATATATAATTACGTAATAACAATAATAAGTCACACAAGAGCCACCAAGTATAAAAACTTCACCTAGGGGTGCCATTGTGGTATCAAATATACAGACACGATTTTGACACGTGTCGGACATGACTAGTCATGTTAGAAATTTGAATATTTTATTTTTCATTGGACATGCCATAAACACGTCAAGGCACGTTTTGAACACTTTCAAGATATATCGAGGTGATTTTTCAATTACATTTTTTAGAAATTTGAGATTAAATGCAATTTAAAATATATTATGGGTTAATTATAAATATATTATAACATTCACCAAAATAATAAACATCCAACTCTGAGCTCCAAAATAGTGATTTCATTTGTGATTATATAGATAAAATGAGTAAAATTTATTATTATTATTATACATAATAATATATTATATTATCAATTTTTATGTATCCATTTGTATCCCTGTTTGAATTTTTTGTAAATTTGTCATATTGTTGTGTCCTTATCATGTCCTAACCATGTTTTCATTCGTGCTTCCTAGCACAAGAGTAACAGGTGATGATGATATAAATACATTGTGACCTTGAGGTCTTGGGTTCGAATCACAGAAACATCTTATGTGCATGCGGGATAAGGCTACATACAATTAACCCTCCCCAATCCCTACATTGGCCAGAGCTAACCTCATAAACTGGGCATGCCCATGTAATTTAAAACACCCTTTATATATAACCAACAAAAATAGAAACAAAATCCTCACATATAAACTTCTAGAAAGTAGTAATAATAAATAATAATAAATAAATAAAAAAAGAAACTTACAAGACCTTTAGTAAGTGTTATGCATGATATGGTTGAACAATTGGCTACTGGAGAATACTCCTATTTAAGGTTATCAAATTTCCATTATGCTTATGTCATTTTATCTCCACATAAGGAACATTTCAAAACTAATAACTTGTGGAGTTAGATGTGAACTTAAAAATAATACCTTCCAAGTTGGTTCCTCCAAGATATAACACCTTGAGCATAGTCGCAATTCCAATTTCTCTTGGTATGTTGCCATTAAGGCCATTATATGACAATGATAAATCTTGGAGCTTTCTGCATTTGAATAAATTGGATGGAATTTGTCCGTTGAGCTGATTCCGAGAATGATGAAGTCTTCTAAGTTTAGGAAGATGGTTGCACATATCTACTGGCAAATTTCCAGACAGACTATTGTTTCTGAAGTCAACTATCCTCAAAGAAGAAACGTTGAAGATTGAAGATGGGATGGACCCTATTGGAGAGCTACTGCTTAAGCTCATTACTTCCAAACATTTGAAGGTTACCTATCTCTGATGGAATTTCACCTGCAAAATTGTTAGAACCAATGTATCCCTTGTTATACTAGTTTGTTTGTAATGAATATATTAGGTGATAACAATAATTGGTTACGTAAGAATACCGAGGTATGATGATATGAATACCTTGTCTTGATGCTTACAAGTAAATTCAGAGCACCCTTATAAAAAATAAAAATAAATTAAAAAAATCCCCTTGCGTACATATACATGTATATATACACATTAAAAATAAAAATAAAAATGAAAGAAACTTACAAGACCTAGCTATTTAGCTACAGTGGTTGCAAAATTGGACAAAACCCATCAACATGACATGAAATTAGTCGGCTTAGGTTAAACTTAAACCATGTTCATGTCAACTTGTTTAATTAATCATGTTATGTTTGTGCTTAGGAGCTCAAGTTGTTTAACTCTATTAGACCCATTAAATTAATTGTGTAATAATCATGTCAGTTCAATAGGATTAACGGTAACTTGTTTTAATCCAATTATTATGCAAAAAAAATTCAATATAAACCCAATATGTACATTGTATTATTATTTGAATTTTTTTTTTTTTTTTTTTTTTTTTTTTTTTTTGTAATTGTATTTGTGTTGTCCTAGGTACCCTCATTTTCATAAATTGTCATCCATAATATTATTTTTTTTATTATATTTGCATTTAACAATTTACACTTATAAACATTTCGCATGACCTATTTAATTTAAAGGTTTAAATAAATAGTTTAACATCATATCGTGTTATGAGTTACGCATCCCCTTTCTTTAAGGGTTATACGAGTCATGTTACCTGTTTAATAAACGGGTCATGTTCATGTCAAGGTTTCCCATCACGATTATTAAATGAATCGTATTCATATTGACATGTATAACATAATACTATTAGATCTAAAGCAACATCAATATGATCAGTCAACATGAATTGCCACCACTGCTATATTTACAAGATAATCAATTTTCCATTCTGCTTATGGAATTTCTTCAGAGATATATCAAAACTGCTAACTCGGAAATTAGATGTGAACTAATTAAAATCATACCTTTCAAGTTGTTTCCACCAAAATATAACTCCTTGAGCATAGTCAGGTTGCCGATTTCTCTTGGTATGCTGCCTTTAAAGCCATTGAATGACAATGATAAACCTTGGAGCACTTTGCATTTGGATAAATTGGATGGAATTTGCCTGCGACGTTGATTCTGACTAAGATAAAGTACTCCTACTTTAGGAAGATTGTTGCACATATCAGCAGGCAAACTTCCAGACATGCTATTGTTTCTTAAGTCAACTATTCTCAAAGAAGAAATCTTGAAGATTGAAGAAGGGATGGACCCTGCTAGAGAGTTACTCCTTAAGCTCATTACTTCCAGACGTCGAAGATTACCTATCTCCAATGGCATTTCTCCTGTAAAGTTGTCAAAAGTAACACATAACTTTCTCCTTTGTTATGCTTTTAACTCGGGAATTAGATGTGAACTAATTAAAATCATACCTTTCAAGTTGTTTCCACCAAAATATAACTCCTTGAGCATAGTCAGGTTGCCGATTTCTCTTGGTATGCTGCCTTTAAAGCCATTGAATGACAATGATAAACCTTGGAGCACTCTGCATTTGGATAAATTGGATGGAATTTGCCCGCTACGTTGATTCCGACAAAGATAAAGTACTCCACGTTTAGGAAGATTGTTGCACATATCAGCAGGCAAACTTCCAGACATGCTATTGTTTCTTAAATAAACTATACTCAAAGAAGAAATCTTGAAGATTGAAGAAGGATGGACCCCATTAGAGAGCTATTCTTAAGCTCATTACTTCCAGACGTCGAAGATTACCCATCTCCAATGGCATTTCTCCTGCAAAGTTGTCAAAAGTAACACATAATTTTCTCCCTTGTTATGCTTCAAACTCGGGAATTAGATGTGAACTAATTAAAATCATACCTTTTAAGTTGTTTCTACCAAAATATAACTACTTGAGCATAGTCAGTTGTCGATTTCTCTTGGTATGCTGCCTTTAAAGCCATTGAATGACAATGATAAACTTTGGAGCACTCTGCATTTGGATAAATTGGATGGAATTTGCCCGCTACGTGGATTCTGACTAAGATAAAGTACTCCAAGTTTAAGAAGATTGTTGCACATATCAGTAGGCAAATTTCCAGACATGCTATTGTTTCTTAAATCAACTATTCTCAAAGAAGAATTCTTGAAGATTGAAGAAGGGATGGACCCTGTTATAGAGCTACTCCTTAAGCTCATTACTTCTAGACGTCGAAGATTACCCATCTCCAATGGCATTTCTCCTACAAAGTTGTCAAAAGTAACACATAATTTTTACCCTTGTTATGCTTCTAACTCAGGAATTAGATGTGAACTAATTAAAATCATACCTTTCAAGTTGTTTCCACCAAATTATAACTCCTTGAGCATAGTCAGGTTGCATTTCTCTTGGTATGCTGCCTTTAAAGCCATTGAATGACAATGATAAACCTTGGAGCACTCTGCATTTGGATAAATTGGATGGAATTTGCCCGCTACGTTGATTCTGACTAAGATAAAGTACTCCTAGTTTAGGAAGATTGTTGCACATATCAGCAGGCAAATTTCTAGATCGACATGTTATTGTTTCTTAAATCAACTATTCTCAAAGAAGAAATCTTGAAGATTGAAAAAGGGTTGGACCCAGTTAGAGAGCTACTCCTTAAGCTCATTACTTCCAGACGTCAAAGATTACCTATCTCCAATGACTTTTCTCTTGCAAAGTTGTCAAAAGTAACACATAATTTTCTCCCTTGTTATGCTTCTAACTCGGGAATTAGATGTGAACTAATTAAAATCATACCTTTCAAGTTGTTTCCACCAAAATATAAATCCTTGAGCATAGTCAGGTTGCTGATTTCTCTTGGTATGCTGCCTTTAAAGCCATTGAATGAAAATGATAAACCTTGGAGCACTCTGCATTTGGATAAATTGGAAGGAATTTGCCTGCTACGTTGATTCTGACTAAGATAAAGTACTCCAAGTTTAGGAAGATTGTTGCACATATCAGTAGGCAAACTTCCAGACATGCTATTGTTACTCAAATCAACTATTCTCAAAGAAGAAATCTTGAAGATTGAAGAAGGGATGGACCCTGTTAGAGACCTACTCCTTAAGCTCATTCCTTCCAGACGTCGAAGATACACATAATTTTCTCCCTTGTTATGCTTCTAATGAATATATTATTGTGGTAACAATTGGCCACGCAAGAATACCTATTATGATGATATAGATAACTTGTTCTAATGCCTACAGGTAAAATTAGAACAACCTTTATATATATATATATATATATATATATAAAGTAAAAACAAAATCCTCACATATATATTCAATGAAATTATAAGTAAAATTTATAAATAATGACCCATTTAGCTGTTGTACATGATATGGTCAAACAATTAACTAGCAAGGGAAACACTAGTACAAATTTAGCAAGTTTCGATTCTACTTCTGGAATTTTTTTTCCACAATAGGTATCTATCAAAACTACTAACTCACATATGTGAACTTATAATCATAAAAAGTTGGTTATACCAAAATTTAACTCCTTGAACATAATCTGAAAAAAATAAAAAAAAAACAGGTTGTTAAATTACTCACAAAAAATAGTCAGATTGTTGCCCATATCTGCTCACAAACTTTCAGAAAGACTATTGTTTGAGAAATGAATTATCTGAATTATTTTGCTAGTGTCATGCATGACATATATATTAAGATTAAACCTAACTCTTAAGTAAGCTGAGAAGGGGTGAAATCATACATCTCCAGCTATTTTTGTTTTGGATAAGTAATACATCTCCAGCTATTGACACCAATATATAACTCCTTGAACATAATTAGGTTTCCAATTTCCTTGGGCATGCTGCCATTGAAGTCATTGAATGATAATGATAGATATTGGAGCTTTCTGCATTTGTCTAAATTGGATGTGGAATTTGCCCATGAAGCTTATTCCGAGAAAGATTAAGTATTCCATAGTTTGGGAAGACGGGTGCATATATCTGCAGGCAAACTTCCAGACAGGCTATAGTTCGCCAAATTAAGTATTCTCAAAGAAGAAATGTTGAAGATGATATATGGTATGACACCTGTGAGCTTGTTAGAATGCAAGCTTAATACTTGCAGTAGAAGTATTACCAGTCTCTTTTGGAATATTTCCATGCAAATAATTGTCTCCTATAACCAATAATTCTAGCTTCGAGATGTTACCGAGTGGTTTTGGGATAGTACCTGTGAAACTATTTTTATTCAGATGCAACTAATGTAGTTCAGATGCAACTGATGTATTTCTGGTAAGATCCCAAACCACGATGGCACCTCTCCACTGAACTTGTTGTATTGCAAACGGATTTCTTTCAATCGATGCAAATGAGCTAAATCCTTGGGTAAATACCCGATGAAATTGTTGTGACAGATGTCAAGTGACATGAGGAATGAGAGATTTCCAAGATGTGGAGCCATAATTATCAAAAAAAGAAAAAAAGAAAAGATGTGTAGCCATGGTGCCTTGGAGATCCATACGAGAGAGATTCAATACGGTGACTCTGTGGTGCCTAAGACCACAAGAGACACCTACCCAATTGCAAATTGATATGAGTAATTGGTAAAACTATTTTTACCAATTACTTGCCAATACATCTTCAGGGTTATAAGTGATATGAGTTCTGAAGGCAAGAAGAGCAAATTGATCGGTGGTCAACTTTGTGATGGACATAAACAAGCAAACCATGAAAAAGTTTACTAGTAGTAATGTGATGGAAAAAAAGGAAGCAATGAGTGTTCTCCATGACATTCATATGTGTATATTACTAAAATTAATGGTCTTGTATGCATATAGCAAATTACAAAGATGGATAGTTTAGCTGGACTTATATAAGATAGGGAAATCAAGCGTTGCATGCAATCACGAAACAACGTTCGAAAGTTGACTAACTATTGCCTGCAAAGACTCCCCAAAACAAATATTTTCATATTACTTTTTGCACCATCAATGCTCTTTTCTGAATTATAATTAAATCTAATATTTCATATATATATATATATATATATATATATATATATATATTTTAAAATAATAATAAATATATGCTTTTGCATGGATATGTGAAAGAGGTTAGTTGCCACTGAAAAGTCTAAGTCAAATAGAAGAGACCTACTATAAATTTATGATTTTGCATGGCTATGTGAAAGAGGTTAGGTCTTCCTTGTAATTTATTTCAGCAACTATGTTTATAGCTCAATTGTTGGAATATGTTTTAAAATATATGGTTCCTTTTTTAATAAGTCTTCAAATTTTTAAAAATATATGATTACTGGCTTCAGTTAGGGCTTATTGAGAAGAGGATTAATCATAATCTGATCTGCCACTGACCATGGGGAGAGCCTTCCAAGGTGACAGATTCCTAGACGGCTTACCCAACTGATTCCTTCAATTGGCCATGCCGAACCATTACCTCCTATCAGACCAAATGACTGTGATTGCCCTATTTGGACCTACATTACCTGGCCACTGGTCATTTGGTTTGAGAACCACATCCCTCGCCATTCTTTTATCTCATGGCTTGCAAGCTGAGAACGAGGGACAGCAAGAGTATGGCATCATCAAGCACATCATTAGCGTTCCACTGGAGTACTGGAATCCCATGGACACATCTTCTTTTCATGCCCATTCGGCGAAGGTTTGGGGCTTCTTCCAACACTTGTGTAGTATTTACCACGGGAATCTGGATTGCAGCGTGGATTACCTCAATATGGAACACCAAATCGACACCAATGAATGCCTGCATTTACAAGCTTTGTTTCAATAGATGTGTTTATTTTCTTTGGAAAGAAATAAATAATCGTACCTTCACCGGAAAGCAAGCTTCGATCGAAGTGGTTCAAAGAAGGGTTTTTGACGGTGTGCGAAACCGATTGTTGTCCGTGAAATTCGACAATTACAGGAAATCCAGAGAAATTGCCGCCACATGGAGTCTTCCGACATCTCTGAAACGACGAATTCCCTCTCCTCTTCCACTCATCCGTGACCGTCGTGCTTTGCAGATTGCTGCCTTAGCTTCCTCGTCGCCGATCTGGCTGCTGGTGCAGGGATCTTTACGATAGGTTCGGGTTGGATGTGGCCCTAATAGGGCTTGTTGTCTTTTGATTGTTTCGGCTTTTGGGCCTTTTGGGCTTTGGCCTGCTTCTTTTGTTCTTTTTCTTTCTTGTTTAATATAGGTGATTTACCGAGTAAAAAAAATTCAAAAATTTTAAAATTATATTAGTTTCCTTTTTTATAACATAAACAAATTTTCAAGTTAGTATATAGAAGTCAGGGGTTTTCATTTTGCACTAGAGGTTTTGAGTTCAAAACACACATGCGAGTAGCCCCTTGATCAAATGATAAAGGTTTGACGATATTCCCCTGACAATTTCGATAATCGGATTTGAAATTTCGGACAACTTTAGTAAATTTTTTTAAAATTTTATTTTATTTTAGACGGAGATGAATACAATGAGTTCATAGAGGGTGTCCACTTTATGAACATACAGATTATTAAATTTGGTTTAATTAAATTCTAAAGATAGTGTTGTTATTTAATATTCTTATTACACATAGATTTCATCTATCTTCAAAAAGGGATTAGGCTTCTCTAAGTTTTGATTTGAATTTATATTAAATTTATTTATTTTATTTTCATAATATTATTATGCATTACATATTTATATTTAGGAAAATGATACTTGCGCATCAAAGAGATAAACGGATTTCTCTGACCTAATCTATGTGACTGTCTATTTGAATATGCCATGTCACAATAGATAAAGTGATAATTATTAAGTTTCTCTCTTCCCTTTTTTAACTATCCTTTCTTATCTTCACCCCAAGAGTCCAATATTTCTCTTTTATCTTTTTCTTTTTTTGCTCTCTATCTCATTCAGTTTTTATATTCATCTCATTCATCTTCCTCGCACAATCGAATACCTTCATGTAATTGTACAGAAATTTGATTAATTATTAGTGATGATGCCCTACTTATAAAATTTCAATAAAATCAAATTGTATTGCAGAGAATGAATATTAATGGAGTCCAAAGTGATTGTTGAGACTCTTGTATAATTTTTTTATGATAAAATTATCTTAATAAAATTAAATTGTATTATAGAGTCCTCAATGTTAATAAAATCATCTCCATATTTTTTTCAGTTAGTGCATAGATATTTATATAAAAGAAAATGGATATACTTAAAGAAGGAACTAAATTCCTAATAGAAGATGAACTATTAGTGCAGAGTTATTTATAGAAAAGAAAAATAGAGATAATTAAAGAAGGAATTAAATTTTTAATAAATGACTTACAACTAGGGGATTGGAAATAAAATTAGAAGTTCAATACTTTGTAATGAGTCAACATGATCCATTGCTGAATATTATTTTTCTTTTTGTGCCACATAGATTTGCCTAGTAAATCGGTCTAAGTTTTCTGCCCAAGTATCACGACTCTTATATTTATGTGAGTATTATTATTATTTTTACATTGAATATACTATCATTTATATGATCTGATTATAACATCAATTATATACATTTTATAAAATTAATCTACTGTAGACAAAGAAAAGATACATTGATAAAATTAAAGTATAAGGTACAACGACATTACTAGCCATTTGAATGTTCAGTTTTTGCTCCGTTTCTAAATTGTGAGAAAAAAATATGCACTAGACCGGAATGGCATTTATAAAATATCCATATGTTTTGGACCACGATCAATCAGAATACTCCATTTATTTTGATAATATGAAGTGGAGTGTTTCGATTGGTTTTGTACGTAACAGCAAATTTCGAATTATTCAAAGATACTAGCCTCACTGTAACGGGAAAAATGTGGGAAGTACAAAATACTACCAAATCTGATACATGATAGTGTTGATCGCTTTTAAATTTCAAGTCCTACCAATATTTGCTAGAAAAGAGGACCTTAATTTTTTTGAGTCTAACCAAGGCTTCTTCCATGTTGATCCTTTTCTCAGGTGAATCAGTTGAACATTTCATGGCCAAACCAAAGACAGATGGTACACATTGCTCCTTCACAGAGAAATATTGTTCTTCTTCTCTTCCCATCAAATTAGAGTCCACAACAGAAATTATTGAACCATCCAATGCTTCATTTACCCAATGTATCAAACTCATCTCCCCAACAAACATTTCTTCAGTCAGCTTCTTCCTTGTGAATGTTTCCATCAACATCACACCAAAACTATAGACATCGCCTCTTGTAGATACAATTCCTCCGATTCCATACTCCATGCATATATGACATAAACATTGATTATGAAATCAAGCACTGGAACTGAACTTAATTTAGCATGGAAACAAAAAATTTCATGTTTGAAAATAAATAGGAATACTTGAACTTGAACTAAATTAAATAACAAATATGGAACATCACCTGGTGCCATATACCCAATTGTTGCCAAGGTCATAGTTTGCACCACAAGGTCCCGATCACTTAAAAGTTTCGCTATCCCGAAATCAGCGACATGTGCGACCATGTCTTCATCAAGGAGGACATTGCTGGGCTTCAAATCACAATAAACATTGGATGTTGTATGACCATGATGTAGATACTCCAAGGCTGATGCAACATCTATCATGACATTTAACCGTTGCAGGATATCCAAACAATAGTTGTGAGAATACAACGACTTCTCGAGGCTCCCATTAGGCATGTACTCGAGTACTAAAGCTTTGAAATCCAGGTTAGTGCAACTGCTGATGATTTTAACTAGATTCCGATGGTGAATGTTGTGCATTACTTCGCATTCAACATCAAAACTCTTGAAAGCTCCTTCTAGTTGCAAATTAAATACCTTTACCGCAATTCTCATCCCATCCAAGAGTGTTCCTTTATATACTGAACCAAAACTCTCCATGCCAATTAGCTTGGTTTCACTAAATGCTTCTGTTGCTTGTAGAAGTTCAGCAAATGAAACCATTCTCCATGCAAGAGGTGACGAATCTTGTTGGCTCTACAATTTAATCTTTTGGTTCCTTCTTATCAACACAAATACGATGGCCACAACAAGAATTGCTAATGCAATAGGGGATAAAATATACTTCAACATCAGTGAAATTTTTGACCTCGATCTTTGGTTGGTTTTGCACGGGGAAACTTGTAGTCGGGGTATACCACAAAGTGCATGGTTATGCAAAAATGATGTAATACACCTCGGATCCGAGACATGAGTTGATCAGGCCTAAGCCCAAACCCGAGGGAAATATCAAACAATTAATATTTAAATGAACACAGATTACAAAAATGAATTAAGAAATAAATATTTAAAAGTTGAAAGAATTCTAAATTATAATCCTCAAAAATTAAATACTTAAAATCCAATAATCCAATAGTTTAACAACTCGGGAATCCCTCCGGTGGACCCCTAATAACAAAATCCAAACTGAAATGTAAATATCTAAAAGAACATCCAAAATTAAACCACGGAGAGAAGTCCTACGTCATCGGAAGAGTGAGTAATAGTCTCTGCTCAGCACGATCAGGTCTAGGACTGGAACTGGCGAATACCTAAAAAATAGAAGGGGTCAGGCCCACGAACAAGTTCTATCCTACTATAATCTAAGCAGAGACTCGATACACATGTACATCCTAACCAACTCAACAATAGCTATATAATCCGTACATATATATATCCACACTACGGGACTCTAACTGGACTATGCAGTGGGTCTTAACCTGAATAAAAGGCAACATACAAAACGCACCTGAGTGGGCATGAGTTTCCAAGCCTAACAGGATATACCTCAACCTATCATATCCAGCTACGCATCTTACTGCATATACGCTCCCTAACCGTCGACTCTGAGACTCAAGCTCAGATCACGGTACCATTAATATATACTTAAAGTCCATCATATCCATCCATAATAAATCCAGTTAGCCATTTAGCTTGTTCAGCCGCACAGACTTACATATAAGTAAGATTTTATTTTTATAATCCGTTCCTTTATTCCGATATAGGTAGGACTTAGCGTTTCGAGCTAATCTAAACCTAGTATGCCATCGTCCCATACCGGTGCATACAATCCAAACACCCAGCAGTTGATAAAACAAATAATAAATGTAGTTATCAACTAATTCATATATCCAACAATCGATACTAAAATATTAAATATAAACATCAATTGTTCTATATTAAGCATGATAAAATTTTGTAGATTAACAGGCTTATTCAATACTACTCCACAAAGTCCAATAATTGATACTACAAGTCATACCTGTAAACCAATTAATTATAAGTAAGCATAATAGAATATACAATTTCACATGTGTATTTTTATAACACTGGAGCATAACCAGCTAAAAAACCATCAATGAGAATTGCTATCTTAAGATTAAGCAATTTAAAATCCTTTCCTTCCAGAAACAGTAATCTAATTTATTAAAATTATCTACTGTTCAAGTATAAACATCAAGACAAATAGTAGTCTGTAAATGTGCATGCTTATTTGAGATTACTAAAGCATATTAACTGTAATATATCACTGAGGATTGCTATTCCAAAATTAAGCAATTTAAAATCCTTTACAACCAAGAATAGTAAACTAGCTTATTTTAAAAATTGTTTACGGTTCAAGAATAAACACTAGTTGGTTTATTTTTGCATTAACCTACTCTTTGAAGTTTTAATAGAGTTTAGGAAATATCTGAATACCCCAACACAGCTTCTACCTGAATCTGAAAACCTCAAAATCCAAACCCCGTAGCCCAAACAGGTTACTGAAAAGCCGAAAAAAAAAAAAAAAAAATTCGAGGGAGCCGTCTCCCTAGTGCATGGAGCCGGCTCCCCACAATGGGGAGCCGCCTCCAAGGCCCCTAGAGCCGGCTCCCTCTTTGAGGGAGCCTGCTCTTTGCTTAGGGGAGCCTGCTCCCTTCCAATGGGAGCCGGCTCTCCTTCTGTTCCTTCGTCTCTTTTAAATCAGGCGATTTTTCGACGAACTATCCTCTATTCCTAAGGCACCTAGGTGTTTAAATTAGGTCCTAGCATGTTCTAGAAACAATTAAATTCTTTATTCAATTACCGACATCAGTTAAAACGTGAATTATGCAAAGAGGATTTAACCCGGCTAATTAACCCTTCAAGAACACGTACTGTTTCAAGTAAATCAACCATGCGAACCAAATTAATTTTAATGCTTCCCAATGTGTTTCAAAACTAATAAAATTCTTTATGCATCAACTGACATCAATTAAATCATGAATTTTGTAAAAAGAATGTGAAACAAGCAATTGACAGTTCACGAACACAAATTGATTAAAACAATGCAAACACGTGAACCAGATTGATTTTAATCTTTATCTATTCCTGGAATTGGGTTAGACATATAAAGAATACGAGCCAAAGGGAGAGAGTTAGGAATAGAACTTGCCTTTAGGTCTCAGTCTAAAACCTTGTACCGTCATCTTCCTAAATTTTCCGGTAAAATCCGACTACTGTAAACCCTCCTTTGTTCTCTCTCTGCCTCCACTGTCGTGAATAGGGTTCTAAAACCCTAGGCAGAACTTAATACTTATATTTATAGGTTTAAGGAAAACACCAACCCTAAATCTAATATAGTTTAGAGATGGGAACCGACCAATTCACTCTATATCTAAGGCGGCTAAATAAAACGTGACTATAAATAACAAAACCCTAATTAAATAAGTAAAATAACTTTCCAGTTAAAGAAAATAAAAACCTCACAAATAACCAATTATCAACCAATTCAAATTAATAAAACAATTAATCAATAATGCAATTTAAATACACAATTAAATCAAAACAAATAATAAAATAATTAAATAGTTAAGCAAATATGCAAATAATCACACAAAAATAAAATAAAACAATAATTAAAACACCGAGACTATCCTTTTAAATTTAGGGGTATTACAAATGATGTAGCTGTAAAGTTAGCAAAATGTCCACCAGTAGGAATTTGTCCTTGTAGTGTATTGAAAGACACTGTTATGAAATAAGGATCGAATAGGAGTTTATGAGAACAAGAGAAAAATAATCACAAGAAAATAAATAGGCACACACAAACAAGACCAGGATTTATACGCGGTTCACCCTCACAAATAGGGTTACGTCCACGGGCGATGATGATTCGTATCACTATAAAGAAGAAGATTACAAACTAAAGAACATTTTGGTTCTTCCTCACAATAATCTCTCTTCTCACACCACTCACTCACTAACAAAGAAGACTTTTTCTAACACTCAAGAAATATCCCAAATAGTATATGGTTTACACAAAGAGAAAAACCCACCCAAAGACAAGCTTCAAGTGTCACTTGAAGATTGCACACACAAAAGGATTTTCTCACACACACAAAACCAATATACTCTTTTGATTTAAATATTGTCTTACTCTTGGATGCCTCTCGGATGCTTTTCATCGAATGAGTGCAAGGCTATTTATAGCCAAAAATATACTTGGTATCCAAGTATATTATAAAGCTTCCTTTGGAAGCCAAAATAACACTTGTTACCCAAGAATAATTATTACTGCCCAAGAATTTCAAAGCTTCCTTCGGAAGCTAATTTGGAAGCTTCACCATCACATTTCTTTAGCCAAAAGATTTTTGCCATGTCATAAATGAATTTTAGACAAATTTTTAACAAATCTCCACCTTGACTAAAATTTTCCACCTTAGCAAAAATTTCGAATGAGCCACAAAACTCCATCCTTGGCAAAATTTCTCCGCCTTAGCAAAAATGATAAGACAACATCATAAAGAGTCTTTCTTCAACACAATGTGAGTAATAAAAATAACGCCATCATCATCTCCAACACAAACAAATTAATAAAGAATTTTAGTTAAGTTTGAGTCATCCTCAAACTTAACCCTCGGGCTCTTATTCTTCAACCCATGTATGTCTTGCGCAGCCATAAGCATACCTCCAGTATTTGTGTCAAACTCTAAATGTTTTCTAAAAGTAACCTCAGAAATTCCAAGTTTGACATCTCCTTCAGCAACCTTTTTCAACCGCCTACAAACCATCGGCTGGTAATGAAAAGTTATCTTCTCACCCTTGTGGAGAATAGGACGTCCTTGACTTTTCCTCGCATCTCTATTGTAACTAACTACTTGCCTCCCACACATCTTAATGGCACTCGAATGGACTATCTCATTGCCACCAAGATTATTGCAAGTCAATATCACACCTGTCATCATAGGTCTACCTCCCTGTAAGGACTGCTGCAATTTCGGTTGCCATTTAAAAATGGATTTCATTCTCACACCACGTTGTGTAGTCTCCACATAACCCTTTTTGAGAACGAGGATTGTAACTCTTCTTTCTAACTATTCATTTGCCAAAACCTTGTTGAGTGAGTGAAGTCTGCATCTTAATGTGCCAAAGACTGAAACTAATTTTGCCATCAAATATCTCAATCTCGTATTTTGTAGACATCTCAAAAAACTCCCCAAAAAAATTTCTCGGTGAATAGTACCGTATCTGTACACAATACACGAACCCGAGCTCTGATACCAGCTTGTTATAAATAAATAAATAAAAGGATCGAATAGGAGTTTATGAGAACAAGAGAAAAATAATAACAAGAAAATAAATAGGCACTCACAAATAGGGTTACGTCCATGGGCAATGATGATTCGTATCACTATAAAGAAGAAGATTACAAACTGAAGAACGTTTTGGTTCTTTCTCACAATAATCTCTCTTCTCACACCACTCACTCACCAACAAAGAAGACTCACTCAACACTCAAGAAATAACCCAAATAGTATATGGTTTACACAAAGAGAAAAACCCACCCAAAGACAAGCTTTAAGTGTCACTTGAAAATTACACACACAAAAGGATTTTCTCACACACACAAAACCAATTTACTCTCTTGATCCGAATATTGTCTTACTCTTGGATGCCTCTTGGATGCTTTTCATCGAATGAGTGCAAGGCTATTAGTGATACCCC